GGAAAAAATAAAAAACATCTATTCTTAATTTCATAGAGGTAAAATAAAATAATGTTCCATTAATTATATTTTTGGTCAAAACAAATGCTATACTCTAGTTTTCTTTAGAAGTCTTTATTTTATCCTTCTCTGTAGAAACTGGTTTCTATCCTATGTTCTAAATTATAAAAGAATATATGTCATTTTGACTTATTCTTCTTTTAAATATTTTCTATTGATTTTTAGAGAGACAGGAAGAGAGAGGGAGAGAGAAAGAGAAACACTGATTGGCTGCCTCCTGCAAACCCACAACCAGGGGTAGAGCCCACAATCCAGGATGTGCCCTGATCAGGAATCGAACTGGAAACCTTTCGGTGTGAGGGATAACACCTAACCAACTGAGCCACACTGGCCAGGGCATTGACTTTTAAAATTTATTTTAAAAATATTTTATACATGTTTTTTTTTAAAAAGAAAATGTTTCTGTGTCTTTAAAAATGATGAAGACAACTCCCATAACATTGCCTACAGTTCTTTATATAAGCTCAAATTGGCAATTCTTTTTATAACTCAGTTTCAGAAAAAAAAAAGTCTGCCTTCCAAGGGGAATAAATCCCTTTAATCATTCAATAAGTAGTATAATTATTTTTTGTGTGTCTAACTTTCCAGGAAACTCAAAGCTAAATGTAGGCCCTGGTCAGGTAGCTCAGTTGGTTAGAGCACTGTCAGGGTTGCCAAGGTTGCAAGTTCTATCCCCAATCAAGGCACATACAGGAATCAATAAATGCATAAGTAAGTGGAACAACAAATTGATCTCTCTCTCTCTCTCTCTCTCTCATCAATAAATAAAAATATTTTTTAAAAAGCTAAATATAATTACAACTCTTTTTAATGTGTTCTCCCTTTCCTTTTACAAGGTGTAAATATTTTATATGAATCATTTATTATAAAAATATATCTTTTAGAACTGGTAATAACATATGTCATTGATGCACATTTTATCCACATTTTAACATCTCTTAAAATTTAACATTCATCTTGTAATCAGCATTGTTTTCCCAGAAGCATTTTTTCTTATTTAAAATTACATTAATGGGAACATTTTGCTTCCCAGCAATTATCAGTTTTGGTTCAAATAAACTCCAATCAAAACTCTCAAATAAAATTACATTAGTAATAATGTCTTATATTTTATTGTGGCTTAGATTTGACAAACTGTGAAAACATTCTCAACAGTTATTCTGTAATGTGAAAACACTATTTCAGCAGAACAGAAAAACTGAAAAACAAGGGAAGGAATTAAGCCTTATTACTTGACTCAATTCATCTATAGCATATTTCAAAGAGCTGTTTCTCATGCCCAACTTCTTACAATTATTGTGTAATGAAGGAATTGGGCTTTGCTATACATAATTATTTGGAAACATTCTGTATACAGCTTATAGTCTTTGTTCCAAAAGAAAATGTTATATGAGCTTCACATTTTAACAACACTATCAACATACAATTCCCAGAACCACACATATGTACAAGATATTTTATTTCAGTTTCTAATTGCTCAACCAAGCTTATTCAATCATTGACTTCAAATTACTACTACTGCCACTATCATTTGACCACCACACCACAAATCAACCACATATCCCAGGGAAGAAGAGAATAAATAGTCTCACCATACGTACATTATAAAAATCATTGCTAGACTGGACCCCTGGAGAAAAGGGTTTGGGATCAGCACCCATGCCCACCGATCTTACAAACTAACTGCAGCACCTTAGGCGTTTTGCTCTGTATAAATATATTTTTTAAATTATTGTTTGACCTGAATGTTAAAAATATGAGCAGAACCTGCTATATCTGTATTTGGAATACACAATAATATTTTCTAATTATCGTGTTATGCTAACCTATGAGTTATATGTTTCTCTTGAGGATGCACCAACTCCATAGCCGGTATCACGGCCACACATGCCTGGCCACGCAGCCAGCCCACTCAGTGATCCCCCTCCGTCCCCCCGCCATATTCTCACAGCCCTTGTCATTTCTTTCACCTTCTGGCATTTGTTTAAACCGTTCCTTGTGGCTTTACTTGGAAATTAGGAGGAAAAATACCGTATAACCTGGTGGTTGGGCATGGGCTTTAGAGACCTAGATCTGAATTCTGGCTCTGCTCTCTTGCTGTGTGACTTGGGACATGTCTTTTATTCAATCGTGGCATCAGTATCTTCATTTATAAAATTAGGAGGATATCCACCTTTCAGGTATGTTACAAAAATTCTATGAGAACATGTATAAAGAGCTTGGTCGTGTCAGGATCACTGTTACTATAGCATTTGGATTACACCTTTACCAAGAGCCAAATTGGCAACGTCCTGGCCCAAATCCTGCCGTGAGAAAGATAAGCCATCACCAGAACACCCGCAGGACTGAAAGCATGGACATCCTTCATTGCGGTGCCTGAGCATCTATTCTGTACGCCAAGCTTTGGGTAAGCCATTGGGAAAATGGAAGAGCATACAAAACAGTGTCTGCTTCAAGGAGCTCACCGCCTTTTGGAGAATTGCCGCATAGGAAAAGCAAACAGTTGATTAAATAAATCGGGGAGAAGAGACAAATCTCCCTTGCAGAAGAATTCCCGATAATGTGTGCAGCCACTCTGGCCTCAGGGAGGCTGGACATCACTCCCTCTCCTTCCGTGTGGGCTGTGCAGAGTGATGTCCTTCCGAAGGGGACAGCACAGAAAGAGGAACGGAGAGGAACTCTGCGTAGAGAACCTGACATACACTCCCTCCTCAGGTGACACAGTCTGTACCTCTGATATGATGGGATGAGAATGTTACTCCCCTTCCGTGATCCTCCTCCCCAAAACCCACACCCCCAGTCTAATGACGAGGAAAACATCAGGTAACAATGAGGAACATTGTACAAAATGCCTCGTCAGCACCTCAAAATAAGGAAACCCTGGGAAGGCGTGGCAGCTGAGAGGAGTCTGAGAAGACATGCTGACCAATGTAACCCAGCATCCTGGACAGGATCCTGGAACAAAAAAAAAGGGTATTAGGGCCCAGCCGGAGTGGCTCAGTGGTTGAGCACTGACCTACGAACCAGGAGGTCATGGTTCGATTCCTGGTCAGGGCGCATGTCCAAGTGTTTGATCCCTAGTAGGGGACATGCGGGAGGCAGCCGGTCAGTGATTCTCTCTCATCATTGATGTTTCTCTCTCTCTCTCCCTCTCCCTTCCTCTTTGAAAACAATAAAAACATTTGTAAAGGACATTAGGTAAAAATTGAGGAAATCTGAACAAATATGTACTTTAGTAAATAAGAGTGAATCAGTATTGGTTCATTCATTATGACAGCTATACCATACTCATGTATGATGCTAATAATAGGGGAAACTGGGTGTGAGGTATATGGGGACTCTATTGTTTATCAATTTTCCTGTAAACCTAAAAATGTTTTTAAAAATAAATATAAGGGTCAAGGGCGGGGGGGGGGGAAGGAGACATATGTAATACTCTTTGTAATACTTTAAGCAATAAAAAAAAAGACTTATCCACAAAAAATAAATAAATAAATATAAGGTAGCAAATGACAAGACAGAATAGGACTGAGTGATTCATTCAGCAAATAGTTAAGTTCCTGTTATGTACCAGACACTCCACTGGGGACCAGGGATAGAGCAATGAACAAAGAGAGCAAGATTCGTGACCTTGAGCGCTTACATGGGACGTGTGCTGGGCCTTGAAGAACTGATTTATGTTCCTTGTTGAGGAGGGAAGTCCCAGGGACATTCCAATGGCAATGTGACCTCCATTACTTCTTGTTAAATAAGAGAGAAACATGAGCCAGGCCACAGTTTAGGAGAGAATAGAAAGGATGAGTCCTGGGGTAGCTGGGAGCCAGCTTGCACAGCCAGTGTTTCCTCGGGCCTTCCAAACCCCAGCATACGGCACGTCCCTGGAAGCACAGGCTCATGTGCCCCATCACGGAATGTGGCGAGTGGGAGGAAAGGAAAGGAAACTGAGGCCCAGAAAAAGGAAATGATTGCTAGTAGTCTCAGGGCTATCTCTGAATCAACTTTTTAATTCCCACTCCCCAGAAGCTGTGGATATTTATTCTGTAGCTTGAAATCATCAAAAACTGTAAAGGCTAGCTGTACACACTTGCTTAATATATGAGTGAACAACAAAAGAAAACCAGGAAAACTAGACCTGATTACACATCACTGAGGTTAAATAACTTAGGTGCTAGAGTTTCTCAACTGATTGTGCTCTATAACCAATCACAGATACCGCAAAATAAATGCACGCTTTCTAAAAGAGAACACGTTCACTTTAAGGCAGCGGTTCTCAACCTGTGGGTCGCGACCCCTTTGGCGGTTGAACGACCCTTTCACAGGGATCGCCTATGACCATCCTGCATATCAGATATTTACATTGCGATTCATAACAGTAGCAACATGACAGTTATGAAGGAGCAACGAAAGTAATTTTTATGGTTGGGTCACAACATGAGGAACTGCATTTAAACGGCCAGAAGGTTGAGAACCACTGCTTTAAGGTCACTAACTGAAATAAAACCCAGTTACTGTGTATTGCATTAGCTAAGTAACAGTTTACAGGGGAGCTTAAATGGCATAAGGGGTAGGGCAGGACTGA